AGTCCTTACAAATCCTTTCCTCCATTATCCCCTCCCTATCTTCTCAGAGAAGGGGAAGCCCCCCCCCCTGAATACCACCTCACCCTGAGACATTGAGTTCCAGCAGAACTAAGCACATCCTCTTCCACTGAGGCCCAACCAGGCAGTCCAGCTAGGAAAAGGAGATCCAATGGCAGGGAACAGAGCCAGAGACAGTCCCCACTCCAATTGTTAGGGGACTCACATGAATATCAAGCTGCACATTTGCTACAAGTGTGTGAGAGTCTTAAGTCAAGCCACTGCATGCTCTTTGGCTGGAGGCCCAGTCTCTGTGATCCCCATGAGCCCAGGTTAGTTGACTCCGTAGGTCTTCTTGTGGTGTCCTCGACCCCTCCGATTTGCTTGCGTCTATCTTCCACTCTTCCACAAGATGCCCCAAGCTCCATATGACACTTGACTGTGACTCTGCATCTGTTTCCATCTTATGCTGGATGAAGCCTCTCCGGACACAGCTATGCTAGGCTTCTGCCTGCAAGTATAGCAGAATGATGATGATAATAGAGCATCATTAATAGTGTAAGGGGCTGGCTCTCTCACATGGGATGGGTCTCAAGTTTGCACAGTCATTGGTTGGCTGGCCCCTTAATCTGGGCTCCATCTTTTTCCCTATGTATTTTGTAGGCAGGACAAATTTTAGGTCAAAAGTTTTGTGGGTGGGTTGATGTCCCCCTCCTTCTACTGAACGTCTTGTCTGGTTACAGGAGGTGGCCCCTTCAGTCTATATCCCCTACTGGCAGGAATTTCAGCTTGGGTCAACCCCATAGACTTCTTATGCTTCGTAGACTTCTTGTGCTCCCATAGCATGTTAAAAGTTATTTACAAATAATGCATATTTAATCTCTACAGTTCACAAAATGAGAAGCTGTGTAACTTCACTCTAGATTGAAATATTCCCCCATAGATGATGGAGAAAAGTTACAGGCTCGTGAGAAAATTACAACTCAAGAGACCCCCCACCCTCCAATATCATACAAGTAGCAAACAATTGATGGGCGAGAATAAACCGTTTGATGTAGCTATTTGCAGCAGGTTATGTAGGGAACTACAGTGATGCAGCTTTGGTATCCTACTCTTCATGCTGGAGTAGACTTGATAGTGATGGATTTGCTGACACCGTACATGCTTCTGTAAGTAAATCTAATAAACCCTCATTGGTTCAACAAGCTAGATATGGGGCAAATAATGTCATTAGTCTGTTACTGGTTTCATCTGAAATGGGTAGGTGGGGCTACAAGTCTGGAGGATATCAAGGAGAATCCATAAAATCTGATCAAATCACCTGGCTATGGTCCTTCATCTTTCCAACCTCTGTTTTCACTGTGACCACATCTAGAACCCTGTACTTCTGTGAAGATTCCTGTGGTTATGTTGGGTCCTCCAAAATCATAGAGGATATTTCCTCCATTCTGTAATGATCAATCTAGTTAAAAACCAAATAAGACAATATATTTTACAGGTGCTAGGGACTAGGCTGCGGACCTTCCCTGGTGGCAGGGCTATCCACTTAGACTGTTAGTTAAGAGCATCAGTTCTACATTAGCCTAACTAGGTCCAATTTTTTTCTAGTCATTAACCACTGAAATAAATATACTGGGAAAACTAAGTTTTCTAGACCTTTATTTTCTCACCTACAAAACGCGAATATACAAAAAGTAGATATTTCAAAAGCATAGCTAAAATTTAAAATAAATGAATTACTAAAGCAGAAAGAATTATACTTGACTCAGCACAGTCAGCAAATGTTCTAGTATCTACTCAGATCATGTGTCTAGCTAGAACATCTGTAGTGACAACTGCCTTAGGACATTAATCTAATGACAAAGAAGGTTTGCTCAAAATGATAAGTTCTGGTTTAGAATAAAGAATCATGTTTCTCTTGCTGTATACTAATTCTGATATCTCTATGCAACATGAAAAAGTAGATAGTTTATATTTATCAACTTGCTTTTCTCAAAAGAGAGATTCTCAAAGAAAAAAAGACTTGTTCGGTTACAGCAGAACATCGTGATTGGAACATGTACATTATAGTAAATTATGGACATTATGAAAGGACATTAGGGAAAAGGACAAAAATGAGATATTTTGAAACAAGAATCTTCAGTCTCTGATTAATTAAAAAGTGTGATGTCATTTCCAGTCTGAACAGATTGGTGCTGGCCAGATGTCCTGCAGAAGTACTTCTTGTCTGAGGTGGCATCTGAAGCCAATGGTTATGACAGTCTTTAGAGGCATCAGTCAACCATGCAGAAGCCTTCTTTCACAACTTCAAAGGATTATTTGCTTTTAAGTTCAAAGTTGACAAAAGTGACTCCATTTTGATTCTGACAATGTTGACATTTCTTTCAAAATAGTGATGTTATGTTTTTCCCACATACATGAAAAAAAAGACACTTAAGTCACCACAGGTCACTACAGCAGGGTAGCTGTCCTTGAGACTCTGATGTCCCCCTTTTAGAGTCCCTCCATGGTGCACTCACCCCACAATTCTGCAACTATCAGTGTACTTGTATCTGAACTCAGCCTTCAACCTACAAGAGCTATGGGACTCCTGTCCTACAGCACACCATTCAGTGCCCACAGACTCCTTCATTTATCATCCCATCATGATTCTGAGCACAGACCCTGGTTCCTTTTAATTTTTTAATTAATCATTCCTTTCATTTACATCTCAAATGATATCCCACTTCCTAGTTACCTCTCCACAACCCCCCATCCCAGATCCACCCTCTCCTCCCTCCCCTATGACTCTATGAGGATGTTCTCCCACCCACCGTTCCAGCATCCCTCTATGCTGAGGCATCAAACCTCCACAGGACCAAGGGTCTCCCCTCCCATTGATGTCAGACAAGGCCATCCTCTGCTACATATGCATCTAGAGCCACGGTTGCCTCCTTGTACATTCCTTTTATCTGATCTCTAGACTGTACCAGAAGCCACTGAACTACAAAGAGCTTCTTGCTATTGGAGGATAAGGAACTGTTGAATAAAAGTCACATCTCAGTTTCTTTGTGAAATGAAAAGGGGTCTCTTTTTACCCTACATCCTGCCCAAAGACATGCATGCATGAACATGTGCTCACGAAAGTGCACACATGAACACCGACACAGACACCCATACATACATACATACATACAGACAGACAGACAGACACAGAGAGAGAGAGAGAGAGAGAGAGAGAGAGAGAGAGAGAGAGAGAGA